TACATGCTGTTATCATATATACCTACATGCTGTTATCATATATACCTACATGCTGTTATCATATATACCTACATGCTGTTATCATATATACCTACATGCTGTTATCATATATACCTACATGCTGTTATCATATATACCTACATGCTGTTATCATATATACATACATGCTGTTATCATATATACATACATGCTGTTATCATATATACCTACATGCTGTTATCATATATACATACATGCTGTTATCATATATACATACATTCTGTTATCATATATTAACACACTGTTATTATAATGCTGTCAAAATTATCACGTTAACAGCGGTAATTAATTTTTTGAATTAATTGCGTTAAAATATTTAACGCATTTAACGCATACGTACAGTTGCAAAAAAAAGTATGTGAACCCTTTGGAACTGCCTGGATTTCTGCATAAATTGGTCATAAAATGTGTTCTGATCTTCATCTAAGTCTCAACAATAGACAAACACAGTCTGCTTAAGCTAAAACCACACAAACAATTATATTGTTTTTATGTTTTTATTGAACACACCATGTAAACATTCACAGTGCAGGGTGGAAAAAGTATGTGAACCCTTGGATTTAATAACTGGTTGACCCTCCTTTGGCAGCAATAACCTCAACCAAACGTTTCCTATAGTTGCATATCAGACCTGCACAACGGTCAGGAGTAATTTTGGATCATTCCTCTTTACAAAACTGTTTCAGTTCAGCAATATTCTTGGGATGTCTGGTGTGAATGGCTCTCTTGAGGTCATGCCACAGCATCTCAATTGGGTTGAGGTCAGGACTCTGACTGGGCCGCTCCAGAAGGCCTATTTTCTTCTGTTGAAGCCATTCTGTTGTTGATTTACTTCTGTGCTTTGGGTCGTTGTCCTGTTGCATCACCCATCTTCTGTTGAGCTTCAATTTGTGGACAGATGGCCTTAAGTTCTCCAGCAAAATGTCTTAATAAACTTGAGAATTCATTTTTCCGTCGATGATGGCAATCTGTCCAGGCCCTGAGGCAGCAAAGCAGCCCCAAACATGATGCTCCCTCCACCATANATTCACAGTG